TACAAAGATTATTCCACTATTATTTCTCTTCCTTGCATCACTATGACTATTTTCACCTGTACTATATGAATCCAGGCTGCCAACAGTTCAAAGCTCTCCAATTATTCAACTGACGAGAGTTCAGAGAGCAACAAGAACACTTGGTGATCTGTGAAATATAATCTGTGAGGAAATGGCAAAAGAATTTTTGTTTCCTTAAATATAGAGAAGGCTGAAAAAAGACATGATAACAGTCCTCAAAAATGTAAACCACCACAGCAAAGAGGAAGGAAATAATCTTTTCTCTCCCACATGAAGAGGATAAGAGTAACAGGCTAAAATTGTAGCAAGGCTGATTTATTTATTTATTAAGTTCAGCTTCAGCAAAGCCATTCCTGGCTGTAAGGGTTGTGATACTGAAGCAGTCGGATGAGATGCCTTGGAAATCTCCACAGCTGAAATGATTTTGGGTCAACATCTGTGCTAATGGAACAAGCACCACAGAGCTGCTGTTGCAGGAGAAGCAATCTGTGACCATTCAAAATCCTTTCTAGCCTTGCTTTCTTATAATTTCATAATTCATTGGTTAAGTACATATTCATTTGTTACTCTTCGACAGAATTTTTGAAATATGCTTGTATCTTTGTGTTCTCAGTCTCCAAAGCCTTCCTTGTAATTGTTACCTTTCCAACTGTGCTCTGTGGTTCTTTCCTGTTAAAGGTGATGCAAGTCCTGCCAGCTAGGAGCTAGAACCCTACCACTCATTGAAAGACAATGGGACTAATGCTTCTTAATATACTACCAAAAAAAATGGACCTTTTGGCTATATAGTTGCTTGCCTTCACTTTTGCTGTGGCATGCACTACCATGTTGCCAGTCTATGGTTCTATGATTCTATGATACCAGGTAATCCCCTCAGTAGGCTAAGCAATCTCCATCTCCAGGCTGATTTAGTTGCTTGTCCTTATTACTCTCACTGGCTGGCTCTTCACTTAGGCAGACAAGAGCCTTCTCAAAATTTCTAACCTAGCATTTTTTCTTGGCCGATTTATAAATTAGTTCCTGTGCTAATGCTGGGCTTCCATCTCCTTGATATTATCCATCTTAGAAGATGGCATCAGTATCCCTCTTGTTTTTCATTTTGTAAAGCTAAACAAATCTTTTCATACTCTCTTAGAGGATATGCACCCATAACAGATCATGAGGACCCTCCTTTCTTGATGTAGTGAAGACCAAAAATTATAGACTGGAGAGAGGTTGTCTCAAAGGCAAAATACAGCCACTTTTACAACAAAAAATCAAGGTCTGGGAAGGGTTAAAAAGTGAAGTAGCCTGTTATTTGCTTGGTTAGAAGCGTAGTTGTCCTACAGGAACTCTTGTGGTCTTGGTTATGGTTCTCTCCTAAGCACCACAAGAAATCTGAGAGTGATGTAGAAGAGCAATTCTCATATCAATCTTTGGGCAGCATGGCTTTCTGCTGTCAGTAGACTCTGCAGGCCAGTTCTGAGGCCTGGGAACTGCAGCTCTTCTTCCCACATCCCCTCTGCATTGGCCAGCCCCACTGATGGCACCAGCACTGCTATGCCATGGTTACACACCCAGCAGCAATGCTGCTTGAACCGGCTTGTCCCCACCCTTCTCCACTCCCAGCAGCATTTTCCACTCCCCGCTGGGCACCCTTGCTATTGCCAGCATAAGTGTTTGTGCAGTTATGTGCAGAACCAGGTCAGAGATTTGATCCCAGCCAAAAAAAAAAAAAAAGCCAAATATATGTATATCTTTTCCAGCTGGAATAAGTTCTTCTGTCTGGTTTCTTGGGTGGCTGCACAAGCAGTTTAGCTGGCATATAGGACGGAAGATGACACGGGTGGAAATGAGCATCTTTACCATGAATGCTCCTCCCAGGGGAACATGGCTGTTCTGCAGTCATGCTCTCACCTAGTGTGGGCTGATCTTGCAAGGGAAATCATATGCTTGTTCTTCATCATGCCCCACGTGCTCCACACCCTCCTTTCAAGGAACAATGCACTTTCCCCATGCATCTCTTGTATATGTCACCAAGAAGACTAACCAAATAAAAAACAGACCAGTTTTGGAGTTCTCCCACTTATCTTGTGGGATAAACACAGAGTCTAAGAAGGGGGATCATTAACCCTAAAACTAGTGAGTGTTGCTCCTCATGTCAGAATCTCTTTCAGAAGTCATGTTGCATTTTCTATACTTTAATCTTTGAATCATCACGATGGTGTTTTCTGGCATTGTAACAACTAATGAAAAGATAATTAATCCTTTGTAATCAAATTTAGGAACAAGAAAACCTCAGTTATATCTGTGTTCATGGAGGTATTCTTTCTTAGTATGCTATTACAACTCGAGTTAAAATAAACCTACCTCTCTCTCCTCACATATTCCAGTTCTGAGCTTTGCTATCACTGATATATACAAATAACTTCCAGGAAGAATGTTTTTGTTTTAAGTCTTCTCTTTCTTATGTGTTTGGCTCCAGATACTCCAAGGACAGTTGTTACAGCCACTACTATTAACATGCTTTGCAGAAAAACTCCTTCACGCTGTCTTGGGAGACTGAATTGGGAATCTAGCTTGACAGAAGAGAAGGACACAAGAGTGACTGCAATCTGTGACTGATTTCTGTAGGTAGTTTGAGGACATTACACAGGATTATTACTCTTGCAATACTCTCTGCAGAGCATGAGGAAATAAAAAAGGTAGCATAGCACTTAGATACAGTACTAAGAAAAATAGTTGAAAAAGTGCATTCTTATATAACATGAACTGAAATTAGCTCACTGGTGATTTTTGTTTATCTGTCAAACGAAGTGATGGATCCTTCATTCCTGTCTGACCACCAAAAGCTATTTTGGACTTGTTTTTATGCCTGCCACATGTGTAGGGACTCAAAAACTTTGGCCAGACTTCACGGGTCATTTGCTGGAGATGTGTTCACAAAAAGCCTGCACAGCATGAACTCCTTGTGACTCCCAGGAGTGGCCTCAACAAACACAGTGGATGCACATCCACTGCAAATTATCTATCAATAAATAATACATTATTTATAAACTGGTCAACCATATTTTTTTTAGACTATACTAAGAAAAGTAATTGAAAACATCTAAATGTCTATATTTTCATTCCTGTAACAGTGTACTTGCAGTGAGTTTTTTAGTTAACATATAGTCTCTCATCAGGACAGCAAGTCAACAGCAGCAGATAGCTAGCTGGGTTTTGAACTAGATGCTCTTTCGAGTAAAGAAAAAAAAAGCCAAAGGTGCTGAAAAGGAGCAAGGAGTAGCCCCTCACTTTTGTTTTCCATTTAAACAAGCTCTTAACTAACAACAAGACATAGTCTCTCATTCAAGAGTAGGAGCCATGAAGGTGGCTTTCATTGTGACCATAGAATCAGCTGCACCTAAATTCATGTAAACAGAGTGTATCTTTTAAGCAAGCCCAAGTCTTAAGTCTTTTTGTGTCGTTCTCTTTCAGAAGACAAAATTAAATCTAAAAGCTGACTGTTATCAAAACAAACGAAAGCAAGAATACAGAAGCCATTTGTTCTAGCTTCTGTCATTTACTTTAGAAGGAAAGCTGTTGGTTTAGATTGTCTAGCTGTTGGATGGGGGCCCAGATTGGGCCCAAATGACAATTCTGTCTTATCTTTTCAGCAGACAAGCTGCTGTTGCTGTTATCCTTTACTGTATGTCAGAATAGCCAGGGAGGTGAGCCATACACATGGCCCAACAGACTTAAAGGAGAAGGATCTCTCAAAATTAATAACTACTTCCTGGTGAAAGTAAGCTTGATCAACTCCACACAGACACATCGTGTCGAGAAAGACAATTTGGCAGTAGCAGAAGCCTTTTTCCATGGGAACTATGTGGCTCTGCTCCTTTCCATGCCCCAGGTATATTTGTGACTGGGTCAGCTCCCAGCTGCCTGATGTTGGGCCAAGGCTGAGCCAGAGCTGAAGAGTGAGCTGGGCAATGCTGCATCCCTGCAGCATCCCTGGCCAAGGTGGGTTCAAGCTGCTGTAGAGGCCACAGATGAGCGATATCCTCATCCTGCTTTCCTGCATGGTATTAGCTTGCTCACTGGATATATCTCACTGCTTCAGCTCATAGATCTGTGAGGAAAAAAAAGAAAGCTGTTTGAGAGGAATGCAGGGGGACTAAATTCATCAGCACTTTGAAATGAACTTGCAGTACTAAGCACTGGTATTATCACTGCAAAACCAGGCCTTTTGCTGGGAAGCATCAATGCAACAGGATCGTCTACTGACAGAGTTGTCAGCACTTTTTATAAGGCTGGAGCACTAGGACATGCATTTGGTTAAACTGTTTAAGCAGCACATATTACTTACCATACATTTTCCATGCTACTGTGATGAGAGAAATTGTCTTTCAAAAAGCTAAAGAAGCTGACCTGATCTGCAGGTGATACAAAATAGCAGGGTTTCTCTGGAATCTAGAAAATTGCACTGATTCTTCTGCCTAAGCATTTCACCTAATAACAACTTATTTTCCTGTGATTTGTTTCTGGCTGCATACATTTCCATTCCAGTGTCATCTGTAGCTGTTTTTGACTTAAGCAAAAAGCAGAACTCGATTTCAGCCAAGATCAGCTATATCAAATTGAAGCTAGAAAAAGTGTTGGGGAGGGATAAGGAAGGGCATTTTGGCTAGAGAGAAAAATGAGAAGAAGCGACTATAAACAGAGCAAAGTGGAAATTTTACCTCAGCCGTAACAATATCTTTGCTGTGGCAGCAGCTAGCAAGCACAACTTTCTGGACCTAAGCTCTTCACCCGTTAGTTTTTCATCTGCACTCTCAGCTGTGTGCTGATGAGCTGGGCGAGCTGGGGATCACGACTGCAGCCGCACAGCCCACACCAGGAACCGCTTGGTACACTGGCTGCAACCCTGTGTCCCAGTCCAAGTGAGCTCATGAGGCTCAGCTGGGCTCCGAGAGGTAGCACAGACACGTCATGAGCACGACTGTCATGGAAAGTCTAAGAAGAACGCTTGTTCCACACGCTGCCTGGACAATGCAGCATTGGCTGCCACCCCCTCTCTCAGCCCCCAGCCGATGCCAAAGCGGGCGGCCGGCTGCGGCTGATGAATAGTGGGTCTGTTCCAGCAGCTGAGCGGCCTGGTCCAGCAGGGAGAGAGACTCCGGGATCGCAGAGTGCCCCGCTCCTCGTGCCGTCTGCAGGGAAGAGAGCCGGGGGCAGCAGGATGGCTTCAGAAGGGGAGAGCATCAACCTGCAAGTGAGTCTATCTCAGGGAAATAGCTGGGGAGGGAGAAACGGGAGAGAAGATCCCTGCTTCAGGGGATATATTCACCCCTTCTATCACTCGCTCTTCTGTTCCGGCAGCCAATTTCACTTGCTGCTTTTTGCCTCTGCTCTCCTTTGAAGTGAAACTAGCTCTGTCCCTGTTCTGCCAGGAGCTAGGAGCCTTTTCCTGAAAGAGGGTAAGAAGAGTGGAATTGCTAAGAAGAGCTGCTCTGGGGGGCAGCAGGGGCAGAAGGGAGCGTTCAGCTCTCAGGAGGAGGCAGCACATACTTTACAAGCTGCAAAACTCCGATCCGTTCCTCATCTCATAAAGCCTTGCTCTGTTTGGCAGAAACTGCTCCCAGTCTGGAGAGGAGAGAAGAAATAAATACAGCAAATGCTGAGGGAGTGCAGAGGCCAGGGTTTCCTATGTGGGGTTTGCAGAGAAACAACACTTCTTGATAAAGCTCTTTCAGTTCTCCACTTTCCTCTTCTGAGTATTTGTGTTTTTTTAAGAAGGGTGTTTCTTGCTCTCAGCGTGTGTTCTAGGAAAGGGCAACTGCCCAAAGGTTTGGAAAAAGAAACTTTAGAGATGAAATGGAGTCAAAACCCCAGATCACAAACACTCATCCGAAGTTCAAGCCCAGATCCATGCTTGGGACAACTCCAGAGAAGGGCAGAGCGTGAAGCACTGCCTGGGGCTCAGCTTCCAGCCCCGGGGAGGTTGACAGCAGGATCCAAATTTTGCCACTGATTTTTCTGTCTGTTACAGTCTTAACTGTTCTCTGAATTAAAAGTGGGGAAGTCCACCTGGTGGCTCAATATTTAATTCTTCAGTCCATCTCAAAGAGACTAAAATGTAAGGTATGCGCCCTTGGGAATAATCAGGGTTGTCATCCCAGAGCTGGAGCAGTGGACTGGAAAGAAGGGTGGAGGTTCTCTGGTCCTGCAGGACCTCCCCTAAAGTTATGAAGTGCAGAGCAGCTTTATAAAACCTTGGAACAGCTATGCTCAGAGATAGAGACACCATAACTGAATAATATGTAGAGGTAGCTTTAACAGTTGGTGAAAATACATTGTTTAGCACTCGGGAAGAGAGAGGATAAACTTTCTGAGAGAAAAATATAGACATCCCTGAGCCAGGAACAGGGGACAGAGGACAAAGAGGATACGAAATTATGCTAAATAAAAATAAAGTTAAATCCTTGTATATTAAATCTCCCCACACAATGAAAAGTTTCAGGTCTATATTGGATTTTTAGCACGGTCCATAGATGAAAAAAAATCAACTTCACAGATTAAAATGCTCAGAAACTACAGAAAAATCTGGATTTTAGATTTTTTTTCCGCAGTCAGACTTTTCTCTTCCATTTCATCTTGAGGTTATGAAGAGCCAAAAGTGATTTGCAGTACCATCAGCCAAAAGTAGTCCTTACAACACTCAGAAAAGTAAATAATGCCAGAAGGACAAAGTTTCCTTGAGTTACAACATTGAAAAGAGCATACGTATGTGTTTCTAAAGTAGGAAGGGGTGGAGGCCCAGGGAGGTGGTGGAGTCACCGTCTCTGGAGATGGTCAGCAACCTGGAACTGGATGTGGCACTGAGAGACATGGTCAGTGGGCATGGTGAAGACTGGCTGATATCTGGACTAGACCACTGTAGTGGTCTTTCTAACTTTAGTGATTCTCTGATGCTACAAGTGTTTCTATCTTTCTCTACGTGGGATGCCACACCAAAGATCTGAGATTTGAATTTGTGACAGTATAGAGAGATTTCACGGAGCCACCAGAAAGTACCAAACAGAGACAAGTGCATGCATATGATCAGGAAATATGCAGTGCTGGCAAGGGAGGGAAAGTACACTGCATACAACTGCAACGCTGAGGCAGGCAGAGAGTCCCAGTGTGTTGTGATTTAAGAAGCGTGAGATAAAGGGATCAGTGGGAAAAACTGGAAAAGGGGGGAAAAACATGTCTTTCAGTAGAAAGTCAATTTAAAAGACTTTGTTGAGACCCTGCTCTGAGCACTGACTGCAGAGCAGGTGTCTTCCTGGATGTTTATGAGGAACCTGCAGGAATGTGTGTCGCATGCTGTAGGGAGGTGACTCCTGATTCGCTCCTCCTCTGGGAGCTCTGGAATAGAGCGGGAGGAACAGCCAGGAACATGGCTGAGATACAACACAGAAACATGGTCGTGTACTTATAGGGAAAGGGTCCTAGCATTTCTTACACATTTGGACAAACAGGCTTGTCAGGTGACAAGAAAATGGAAATAACATGAGTCTCTAGCCCAGCACAGAAGAGAGCTGGGAGAGGCGATGAAGACCATTTTAGATGGTTCTAAGAATAACTGATTGGTTCCCAACATTTTTGCTCATCCCAAAAGATGAAAATAAAGCTCACTCAGCAAAACTGAAAGTCTTCCTGGCAGGAGACACTCCCTCTCCAGTGTGGTATCAGCCTGTGGAATTTGCCATCTCATGGAGCAGGTCAGAAAGCCAAATATTGGAGAAAGCATTGAAAAGAGGTCAGGAGGACGTTATGATCAGTAAAATATTTACAGTTCTGTGAGTTAAAAAAGGTACTTTCAATTCCCATGATCAATGGCAGGATAAAAACAAATCCCTCCTCAGCTCCCTGCAGGCAATAACCAAGTTGCTGACCAGACTGCAAGAGATAACTTGCACTAGAGAAGATGTATGCCGACTGTTCATTGGTGAGACATAGGGCAGATTTTTATCAGCAAGAAGTGCCATTAATCCACTTTTTCACAAACAAACATTTTCTTGCTTGATGTGTTTCAAAGGAATCTCATTTTCAGTTTTGAGGACTGAAAGAACCTCAAATGACACAGGGGGTCACAGAATGGAAAAACAACCAGGCACCAAAGATAGAGCAGCCTCGCCTGATTTGCACCCATTAGCCAAACACTAAGACAAAGCTTAAATTAAAACCTTTTAATTAAAAAGATTAATTCACTCATTGAAAGACAAGACTTTAATGTGAATCAATTTAAATAATACACTTTTCTTACCGGACATCTCTATTTTGGTTTTCGAGCAAAACTTTCAACTTCTCCTACTAAACATCTGCCATTGACAAGTAAGCATGGAGGCGGAGCAGTAACATGATGAGATGCAATGGTGTGTTCTGAGATAGAAAAACACATTTGGGAGAGAAACAGCCCACAAGGTCCTATCACCAGGTCCTTTTTGCTTCAGGAAATAAAGGTTTGCAAGCCAGAATAGTAGCTTAGCTTTGACAGTCACACTCTAGCTGATTAATCTGCACTTTTTCTATTACTTCCCTTAACTCCCACCTCTTCCCCTGATTTGCAGGGGGGGTTGGGGAGAACGGGGAGGAGGAGGGGGCTGTACAGGTCTGTTCTTTTCAGAAGCAAAAGGCCCATTCAATCTGTTTAGCCGTGTGCCTCAGCTGCTGCAGTTCACGATTTGGCATCTTAACACAACCCTATTTCACTGGTGATTTAAGCTAATGTACCAGACTTTGAATGGGAGCAACTGAGACTACATCCGTTCTACCCCTCCCACCACAGCATCCAGGGGAAGGTCTGCAGACGGCTGAAGTCAGTAACACTCACACACTGCTGCCATGGCTATGTCTGTCAGAGCCCCAGATGAATACTGCAAAATGGAGCAAAGGCTGGGGCCGATTGTAAACGGCTCCAGAGGCTGGTTAGGTTTGTGTTTTAATATTTTCTAATTCATGAATGAATGCTGTGTTCTGGTTAAGTGGGCGTTTAAAGGATGTGCACTGGATGAATGCCATCCATATTCATATTGCAAAAGGGACTACATCGCACATGCCGCTTCTTTCTTTCTTTTTATAGTTTCTTACTCCTTAGTTTTAAAAAAGTTACAATCCTCTGGGATGAGAAGCAGAAATAATACATCACCATTTAGGGAATCATTCATACATCAAAAGTAAGAAGAGTAAACAGATAAAATAATCATTCTGGGAAAGAGCCCCTGTGCTGAAATTTTTTGGCATAAGCTGTTTGGTGAACACTTGGAATATTACGTACATCTGCAGAAAGAAAGACAGGTTTACAAGCAACTTGAAAGAAGGGGGAAAAAAAAGGGGGGAGGGAATGGGGGCACTAAATCCTTGGATAATTTACTCCCAGTGCTCAGTTTTTGACCATGTCAGCAGCAGGAAAATTTTAAACAGGCAGATAAATAGAGTTAGCTGTAGGCCTGACAGGAGTGGGGAATTTTCCAAAATGCCCACAAAACAATTGGAAAGTCCCACTTAGTGCCGTAAGACCCATCTCTCACATCCCACTTTCAGCCCAGGCTTGAAGAGGGAAAGCAGCGAGTGTCTTAGACTTCTGGTTTTGCATTTTTGTTTGTGGCTTTAGCGTGTGCCTCGAGGCTGTGACGTGCTTACAAGTTCCTGGCTCCGGCACATTATTTGCCTGCTTCTGCAGTAACAGCCAGCTTGTGCTTTCTAGTGCTGGAGGACCTTTACCCTCATTTAGCAATTTCCTAGAATGATGGCAATACAATATCCCCAGCCAAGCAGTATCCTTGCCCCAGTGGACTTCAATAGTGTTATTTGGGTTCTTTGATTTGTGTTTGGACAAGAGTCTCCAGTAAGAACGCACCTTTAAGGAATAAAATACCAAGTGCTTTAGAAAGAGTCACTCCTGCAATGTGTGCAACTCAGTCATCAAGCGTCTGAGAACTTATTTCACCAGTTTTAACAACACTAGTCCAGCTGACACAGCCCCCCAAGCAGGAGCCTGCTCCCCACTCCCAGTGTGCGCTCCATCCCCTGTGTCACTCATTTGACCCTGGTAAAGCTAATTCAGAGAGTTAAACTCAGAGAAAATGCATCACTCTTTGCCAGAGTTTCTGTTCCTCTGCACCGAATGGGTTCCTGGAAGGATCAGGCAAGCACCAGCACCCAGCAGGGGTAGGACTGTGTGGCCAGGAGAGCACAAGGAGGGAGCAGGTTCCCTTCTCTCAGCAG